CATAAACCATCAAAGTTATGGATGCTCCTAGTTTTTGCATGGACAAACAATGTGAAAATCCAGATATAGTTGGATTCTTTAGTGCCAAATTTTTTAAAGATCCTTGAGAAGTGAAAAAACTTTATAGTAGTAAAATTTTCCCATCATTTTGACATTTCACATTTGATTCTTACAGTGACATTTTTGTTAGGACAGGTGTATTATTTCCACCCAAAAAATGAGAAGCAAGTTAAAATCTGACCTACAGAACTGGGATATAGAGAGCCCAAGTATCTGGACCTATTGATAATGTGTGATCTTCAGCATTTAGTTCAAGTCTTGATTCTGGCACTTAATAACTGTGTAACCTCAGGCAAATAATGTCACCTGCCCATGGTTCTGTTTCCTCACCTTTAAAGTGTAGCTAATAATTCCTTCCTTCCAGCATTATGGAAAAAGTCAAAGGATATAAACCTTATAAGAGCCTTTTTGAAACTACAGAATACACTATAAATAAGTTAAGGGTTTTTTTCCTGGTGTCTATTACATCAGCACCTTGTTACTCCAAAGGAACAGTTGCGGAAAGCCAATTTTAGTTTGTGAACAAGTTCATTTGAAGGTTCCTTTGGGGCCTGAGAAGTGCAGAGGGAGTAGATGTGAACCCCTGCCTCCATTACCATTGTTCGCTTTCTCTCTGCTTTTGCCCCAGACGACTTAAAGCTTATCCATGCTTCCCAGCATTCTCCTCTGACTTCCCTGTCTTCACCTACTTCACCTGCATAGGAAGACATGAGGGTGGGCTTAAGGAGAAGTCAAGCAAACACATGCAGAAAATGAATGCATACTTGCATTCGTTTAATTGCTATCTCCTCTGAAATAAAGATTTCAAAAAAGTTCTTCATCCTACCCTGATGCTTTGTCAGATTTTGCATTGTTTCAGACTTAATTTTTCTAAAAATATCTGGAATTCTAACTGATCTATTTCTAGAGCTTAAGTTTAGTTTTCTAACTCCAGTGTGAGTAACGCTTTGTTTTAGCAGTGCTCAGGCTACGTGTTGTCATGCTTTGTGGGTTAAGCATGACTGGGAGGTGCTGAAACCAAATGACTCATCATCTGAGTTCTCTCTTTCAGTTCCTAAGAGGCCCCAGCGTGTCACTTCAAAACCAAAAACATCACCAAGTCCAGAAATGTTGTACCCCTCACCTGGTAAATGTTTTATTTCATGTTTAAGCCAAATGCATTCTACTGTCACACTCTGCTGCAGGGAAACATGAGAATTGATGGATGTGAGGTCAATATTTCACATATATTCAAATACTGTGTTGTATCATATGTGGTATTATTCAGAGGTTTCGTTAAGATTGTCCCTTTGCTCATGTAGTAAAGCTATTATTATTATCAAAAGGCACAGAATTATGCCAAGGGCAGAATGCCGTTCCTAGAACTGAAGGTCTCTCACTTACAAAAAAATAACCTGCCAATTCTAACTATGCTATGCTCAAATGTTTCTACAAACAAGAAGATAAAGAATTTGATTTTTCCACAAAAATGATTAAATGGTGTTTTAACAAATAGAAGCAATGAATGACATTTAGCCATTTACTTAGGTTCATAAATTTTACTATATCCAACACTGAGGTTTTTTCCCTGTCACATTCGACTTTACAAGTTTATGGAGCAATAGCTTGGGTTAAGGAATTTGTTTCACAAACAGTAGTAAAAAAAAAAAATGATTTCTTTAGTTATAAATCTGTTTCTGTCTATCATCTAAGAATGTCTTTTGTTCACTTATGTGGAAAGTAATCTCATACTTACAGGAATGCCCAGGGTTGGAACTGCAAGGAGCCAGACACTTCACTGGTCTTACCACGACTGCTATTTACACGAATTTTTCAAGAGGCCTTAGGAAGACTGTTAGTTGAACGTGAGAGTTCTCTCATAAACCAAACCAAGCTCGTTTTTAACTGGAGAATCTGGGAAATATTTTAAGTTCTTTCCTTTTCTTTTAAAGGTCCAATTATTATAAATTCCTAGATGCTCCTAAAGGCATATAGAACGTTCCCAGAACCAAAGGATTTCTAAGCTATCATTTGAAATGATGGCAATTTTGGAAGCAAGCCTGAATTCCCTTGCTATAATGTTTTCCAGATTGTGTAAGTGAAGGGTATTATTGTTGCCGTGGTGTAGTCAGGTTGCTGTTGGTGATGGTGGTAGGTTAGAGAGACGCTCCTTTGCCCTGAAGTCTAGAATTTCAGTTTATACCACTAAACACAACAGCCAATATTATAAATATAGAGTAAGAAAAAAAGCTGATCTTCCACTTGCAAAAGGTCAACTTATGTTCACTTGTGGAAAAAAATATAATAGAAATTAATTCACTAAAGACAACAGTAGACTTGAGTAATTTTACTTTATTTTTAATTATAAAAAGTAATATTGGTGCAATCTCATTATATCAGCATATCTAATCGTTAAGCTTTTTCTTCTTTTCTAATATTTAATATTTGCCTTAATCCCATCACCACCTTGTTTTTCACAGAAACTGACCTGTAAGCTTGAGCACTGAAATAACAGTACAACCACTCCCCCTAGTTGGTCATCCTCTACCAGCGCCCTAGCCTTACATATTCAGAGTTAGAATTCTGTCTCTAAGCCTAGTGTTGGCCCTGCCATTGTGATCAGTCCGCTCATCGCTCCTGTGATGCCCACAGGAATAATCAATCCTAAGGCAACTGTAATCAGATTTCAGTTTTCTTAGAAGTGCTCAAATGCTGGATTCTGTTGTGTGCAAACAGTTTTTGGATTGTATCTAGGCTCAGGTTTGCATCCTAATGAACCCAAGGCCTCATTTACCAGAACCTGTAGGTTTTACCTCAGAAAACACAGGGTAGGTTACATGTATATTTAATATGTATTGGTATTTTGGAGAAATAGACTCTTCTGTAAAAAGTCTAAATGTAAATTGTAGTGCTGAAATCAGGACAGAGTTATGTTTTATTATGATGTTTATCTCAAAATGTATTCTAAGAGAGACCAGAAGTAATAGACTTGGATTTCCAGACCTGTATTAACTAGAAAGTCAGTCTAGGGTTCACTGCACAGTTCTTCCATTCTATAGATTCCTAGACATATCTTCATGCAACGAGGCTTTAGAGAAAATCTTCCAGCCACTTGGTCAAATTATCTCCTACACTTAATGAAGAATCTCGAAAAACCGAGCCCATCCCCCAGAACTGGATTTCCTCCATATCTGCCTTGGAGGAATGATTTAGAATTCAGAGCAAAGGAATTGTCCTGACAGCAAACAAATGCTGTTTAGCTTGGAGTCCAAACACGAGGTACCTGGCTCCACAGAGCTCTGCCTGCCTTGCAGATTCATTTCTATACCAAGAGCTGTGTTGGCTTGTCATCCTTCTGGCCCCAGGCTTTTGGATAGATTTTAGTCATTGGAAGCAAACCAGGAAGAAAATCTCGATTTCAGCAAGCTATCCAAGTCCTCATGAATGTTCCTTCTGCGTATCTATCCCCTTATACTCATTTGTAGTCACACTTCAGCATTTTTGTAGTTAGTTTCATGTTTTAGTTAAATGCGGTTGGTTTGTTTGATTGTTTTTTGGTGAGCTAATTAAGAATGAGTGTTTAATTCTAAATATTTCCTAAAAATTGAGCTGTATTGTTTAAAATAATAAGTGAATTACAGTTATTAACGCAATCATTTGCTTGGATTACATACTTTAAAATGTTGCCAGATTTATATTAGGGAGAAGCCTGGACATGAACATTCACCTAATGAATGTGTTTTTTTTTCTGATGTAGTCTTAGAAGACAATACATTTAGAATTGAGCAAACCAAGATAACAATAATTAATAATTTCCCCCATTTTTATTTTTATCAAAATAGAAGTTGGAATGATCAGGGTAGAGAATTACCTCCTTAAGATCACACTGTTATGATTACCATTCTACAATGCTTCCTGATTATCATCATAATCTTCTAGACAATTTTACCATTTCTTCCTAAAGCTGCTTAGTTTTTCCCTGAGATTGTATTATATAGTTTTATTGTTAAAATTTTTCTTATTGATTTTCCTAGAGGTAAGATGTCTTCTCACATATGAGAATTAAAATCAGAAGTTATCAGCAGTTTGCTGATGTACCTGATGGCACGTTAAATATCAATACGCTTTTCTCCCCCAAGCTTTAGTGACTTAGCACCTTCATTTTTTCCCCTAAACTTCTTTAGGCTCATATGTGCCATGATATGACAAATTATTTCTTAAATTTTTAATATAGAATGTGTTTATTATAATAATGGCATAATAAGGCAGATTTTAATACTGCTTTACATCTCCCTGGAAAAGAATTAGAGACTTTTGGGAGAGGCCCATGTGGGTCTTTAAAATGCTGCTTAGCAAAGCACAATGCCGGTTCATGAGAAGCACACATCTTTTCCAGATCTGTGGCAAAAATGCACCAATGAATGTTCAATTCAGCAAATATTGATTGTCTTTTTTATGCCTGGTTCTGTGCTTAGTGCTATAAGGATAAAAAGAGGGATTAGATATAATCTCTACCATCCAACACAGTGCAGTGGAGGAAACAGGAATTCATATAAATTATTACAAAACAAGGCAAATCTTGGTGAAGTGAGATAGTGATATAAACAAAATACAATGAAATGACAGGGAAGCAATAAATTGTATGAATTCAAGAAGTCATCACCAAGGAAAAGAGATTTAAAATAGATTTTGAAAGATAAGTAGGCATGTAGCTATTGATGATTTATAAGGAAGCAAAGACACGGGGGTATGAAAAGTGGTCAGCATAGCTTAGAAGCAGCCTGTAATCAGAATGGTTACAGTGCCGGCCATGTGGGTGAGATTACTGGGAGATGAAGACTTAAAGTGGTTGAGGGCTTTTGCCACCATGCCAAGGACTTCAAAATTTTTCTACAGGCAATTAGGAGACATTAAAATTATGCGTTGTGTTTTTCTAATTATGGGGGTGATGCGATATAATTAGATCTGTATTTTAGAAAGATAGTTGTCATGTAAAAAAAAACATGGAATATTAGCTGGCAAGAAGAGATTGGTGGCAAGGAATCAGTTAGGAATTTCTCAACAGTCTATTATAGAAAGGCACATACGAGAATTAGAACTAATAGTGGTAGGAAGGGAAACAAAGGAATAATGCTGAAATTGATTTTGGAGGTGGAATTGCTAAGACCTGGAGAATGACTGAACGGTGTTATGGAGAGAAGGATGACACCATCATTCCTAACTTGGGCCAGTGGTAGGTGATGATGCCATTGACTATGACAGGGAACACAGGGAAGAATAAAGACTTGGGTTTGTACATACTAGGTTTGCAGAGCCAGTAGAACTTTCAGGTGGCAATAGCTTAAGTGGTGGTTGAAAATGTTTTTCTGGGCCGGGCGTGGTGGCTCACGCCTGTAATCCTAGCTCTCTGGGAGGCCGAGGCGGGCGGATTGTTTGAGCTCAGGA